CACTTTAAACTCTCAATACATAATTATATGGTTTGACACCAATTTAGCCCTTTTTCACCTCCTTTTTTGTTTGTTTGATAGGGCAGCTGGTTGCATTGTATGATCTCAAAGTCTCACTTCACCGCATGTACAAACCTTTTTGGCAACAACAGTAACACAGCCAGCCAAGAGAGGATTTGTCGACTCATTCCCAGCCTGTATTAATATTTACCAGGCTAGAAAACAGAGGCAGATGTCAACCATGAGGCGAGTTCTTCGTGTTGCTCTGTGGTGAGCTTTTGTTCTGGATTATAGCGTAATCCAAGAATCAGATTGGTTGGTGTTAAAACACTGAGTGGAAGAACGGGTAGGGGGAGTCCCCACTTCTTTGGCCACTGCAGAACTGGAGAATTCCTCAATAGCCAAGATCAGGATTTGGTAATACAACAAGATGTCAGATGATGCTTTTTTTAAAGTAGAGAGGAAATATGTACAGTTGTATGTTTACCATTTCATAGTGGTCTCATTTTGCCACTACACACAGGAACCACACACTCTGATTTCCATAGATGCAATGAAACATGAAAAACAAGATAAAAAAAAAACTACATCTCATTCACTTTGACCCAGTGACAGGGTTGCTCAAATCAGACAAAATCAAACTAACCTTTCAGCACCATTAGACAAAAACATGGTCTAGAATTGAGTCTGGGTGTAATCTAAGTCCACTGTTCCACACCTCACTATACTGAAGTCTGAATGTGCACTGCATACAAAATTAAACCTAATATCATTTAGAAAATCAAAGCATGACACATATCTATTGGATATCATATTCATTGTGGTTAGGATGGTGTGAAACACAGTGTTGTATTTGCCTGGGAGACTGTATAACACTCAGCAAGACGGTATATATCAATGCACATGCTCATGTATACACACCCTAGGGTACGTGAAGTTAAAAATACTAAGAAAATGTATTAACATGTATCTTTGTGCTTAAGTCAGAATTTCAGCACTGGACAGCTCCCATAAGACAGGCCCTCCCAGAGCAGTCATTTCAGGAGGGACAGCTCCTCAGTGTGGTTTTAATCATTGACTGTGTAGGAATAGTGGACAAACCCACCATGACGTTACCCACTGGTTTTGTGAAGTCTGGCCAGCGCCATATTGGTAGCACTTCACCCCACCTGCTAGGTCTAATTGAAAAATGGGAAATGAGGTGAAGCGTGAGCGGAGCTCGCTAGATGGCTAGCGGCCAGCCACCTATGGCCATGCCCTTAGTTGATGCATAACTTTTAGGCTCAGTATAATTAGCACACTTTCATAATAGCTTTTACTGAACCTCCCAAATCTCTAGTTTCTAATGGACACTTTGTGTGAAAAAGAAAAACAAATTCCCAAACCCAAGCCGAGATAACCTTGATGACATCATCAGGGCTATTTTTTCAAACTTAGAAAAGCTGTCCCCAGAGCCACCAAAGACATCATTCGGCTGTGAATAAACTAAAATGTGTAATATCAGTGGACTTTAAATATTAACTGTTTAACCAAGTAGAAATATTTAGTCACTGATTGTATTTAGAGGGTAGTGTGGAGCATTTAGCCCCCGATGTTTAAATTCAGAGGAAATGTAAGACAATATATAATGGCCTAAAGCAAAAATGTGATGTTGAAATGCTCACTGCGTTGAAGCTACTGAAAAATAGCCTGTTGTACAATATTTTTATTAACAATTAAAAGGGAAGAAGAGGAAAACACCCAACCCAGTTCTGCTGGGATTACCAAACAACAAAGAGCTTCCAAAACTGTGGATTTCCTCAGGGGGAGGAGATGGATGCAGTTCTTTCTCAGTCAGATGCTAATTTTGGCTTACACTGATTAAGCTGTCCATCGCATTGCCAGGGGACCTCTGTGTATTTGTGATCCACTATGTGCCTGAGCGTATGTGAGCGGAATCTCTAAAGCATAAGGAGACACCGTCAGCAGTGCCAGCGATTCACAGGGAAGGACATGAAAGAGCTGTAGAGAGCCAGTGACACAGTGGGACTGCAAATGGGTGGGGAATCCTCCCCGATCTATCGACAGTTAACAAGGAGATAACTTAAAAAAAAAAAAAAACAAGCTTGGTGATTCTGTCATCAGCTCTGTCCTCAGGTGCACAGAGGGAAAACAGCTAATTGAACGTAGAGTTGGAAATAAATTTAAATAATGGGACATGATGAGACAGTGTTTTTGACTCCTGTCAGCACTTCGACTTGTTTCCTTATATTAATGAAAGCAAACCACTTCAAACATTAATACAGTGCCTTCTTGTTAGGAATGCCTTAGAATGATCTTGAAAGTTCCTTTGAAATCCAGTTATGTAAAAGGATCATTCATTCCCCCATACCGCAGCAGATTATATGAACAGTTTATATACTATGGAATTAAAAGTGATCCAACTCCTAATATAATGTTTAATATATATTCAGACCACAGAATACATTGTAATATGATAACATGCTATTGGGAGGGTGGACTATCACAGTAGCTATATCAAGTGTTATCCCTGTGGGTTATGAACTCACTAAGCTGACAAGAGCAGCTTTTGACCCTCAACCCCAAACCAGCAGCCAGGCAGGTCTGTGTCTGAAGGGAGACTGGGGCTTGACAATGATCCCTCGCCCCACGCTTTGAACTGTCACAACATGCACTGCACACAGCCCCAAAGTTTTATTATATATTAATACCAAATAACATATAAGGCAAGCAACAACACCTTTAAAAGCACAAAGCTCATAACTGTCCATGAAGGCTTATAATGTGTGTAGAGGACACAACGGTTTGTCCCAAGACATTAATCTACACAAGGTGATGTTGGCCCACAACTGCTACAGTATGGTGGACATAAGGTGCATTATGCATACAAGAATGGCCAAACATCCGTGCTTACAGTATGTGACATGCTATGTGAAGTGCAATGTACCCCCACCCCCCACCACCACCAAGCAGTGGCGCATTCTGTCCAATGTCACCTCGGAAAGCAGTCTCTTAAGATGCATTATGTAGCAACCACTTTAACCACCGCCTCAACCTTTGACCAGTGACTCTTCTCAG